CACTAAACATAATTATGACATCGAAAGGATACAGAATCGAATCATATTTTAGGAATATGCTGAACTGGTGATGAGCATTGACTATGAATCGGTAACAAGGTTCGAGGATCCATATTTGAATGGCATCAAATGTCTGTGGGCCGATGCTGGCATCCAGGAGTGCTACGATCGCCGAAGAGAATATCAGTTGACGGATTCAGCCAAATAGTGAGTATTTACTAATTATCTATTATAAATAAATCTCAACTATAATCTTGCATTAAGCTATCTGAGCGATTTGGAGCGCATTGAACAAGCTGATTATTTGCCCACGGAGCAGGATATTCTGCGTGCTCGTGTGCCCACAACTGGAATACTGGAGTATCCATTCGATCTGGATGGCATTGTATTCAGGTTTGGCTCATTGATTTATTTATAATTCATGTTTCAGCTGTACAACCATTTCAAATACTTATAGAATGGTGGACGTTGGCGGTCAGCGTTCGGAGAGAAGAAAGTGGATTCATTGCTTTGAGAATGTGACCTCGATTATATTTTTGGTGGCGCTATCTGAATACGATCAGATCTTGTTTGAATCTGATAATGAGGTAGGTTTAATTAAAATCGTTTATGCTCCTTCCGTTAACAATTGTCTTGAATTTATTGCAGAATCGCATGGAGGAATCAAAAGCTTTATTTTGCACTATCATTACATATCCGTGGTTCCAAAACTCATCGATTATTCTCTTTCTAAACAAGAAGGATTTGTTAGAGGAGAAAATCATGATTTCGCATATGGTCGACTATTTTCCAGAATTTGATGGTGAGCTTCTGTTCTTTTATTACTTGTTTTTTTTTTTTTTTGTGCTAAGCTAAGCTAAGCGATAAATTATTGTCGGCAGGTCCAAAACAAGACCATGCAGCGGCAAAACAGTTCGTGTTGAAAAAATACTTGGCCTGCAATCCCGATCCAGAGCGTCAATGTTATTCGCATTTCACAACAGCCACAGGTTGAGTTCTTAATTAAATCTTTTTTAACTTGCTTTGCAATGCTCTGCCTTAGATCTTGTTGTTTCTGCTTAGATGTATTGCTAACTTCGATTTAATGCTGAATGATATTAATTCTCTTCTGTCTGATATTGACAAACAGATACCGAAAACATCAAACTTGTGTTCTGCGCTGTCAAAGATACAATTATGCAAAATGCACTTAAGGAATTCAATTTGGGTTAACTGCATTCCGACGTGGAATTCCTTAGAAAATAAAATGATCGTTAGCAACAGAGTGCCTTCCTAAACATATGATTTACTGTTTGTTTTGTGAAATGTATTTGCAAATAAATTTCAATTTAAAATAAAAATTCAATCCATTAGGTGTAAAATTCTTTATTTCAAACTTATGTTTTATATCTAAACTAAGATTTAAATTTAACACGTTTTACATATTCTTGTAGCTCGACTAGCACGTAATAACCTTTCCTTTTTTAAATTGTAAAAATTAACTATCACAATGAAATAAGTTTTTTGTTTTTTTGTTTTTTCTTTTTTTGACAATTCATTTAAATATGCGGCATTGCTTAGCAGTGGCCAAAAAACTTAACATTTGAAAAACAAAACGAAAGTTAAACACAATTTGAGTATCACATGCACATTCAGAGTTCGAGACAACAACTCAAATAAAATAATAAACATAAAAAATTCAATAGCTTAAAAAAAATATTTGTTCGCCTGTATGTAATTTTGGCACTGATTGCAAAGTCGCAGCATTTTAGATGACCACAAAATCGCTTAGGTTGCGCTCCGGTTGCACCATGCTCGCAGGCATGAGCTGTACCAACTTGTTGAAGAGATATGCGCGACGGTTTTGAAGCTCACAGGTGGCTTCGGTGCGCGCACGTTTGGTGCACGACGATCCACTGGGACTAGATGCAGTCTCTGATATGCCGGAAGTTGCCAAGCTCTCATTTGACTCCAGCGAGATGTTTTCCGCAGCACCTAGCCCAACGTTTTCTGCCATTTCAACTGAAAAGCGAAAAGGTCAGTTACCCAGTTAAGGTAAGGATTTATTGATACCTACCCTTGGTAGTCTCAGATGTTCCTGTACCGAATCTTTCACTTTCAGCGCACAACTCAGGCGTAGCACTGGGACTCTGCGCAGAGTCTTGGCCCTTGTCGTGTGACTTGAAGAGAAGGGAAGCTAACTTATGGAACTGTGTAAAAGTGTTTGGTGTTAAGAATTTTGTGCTCTAATAGAATTAAATTGCACTCACGTTATTCACTTGTTCCGAATCGGTGTGATCTATAACGTCAGAGATGTTATGTCTGAGATACTCCATTGCCTTCAATGGATCTGAGCGTGCCATTTCCTCATAGCGCAGCTTACGCACCAAAAAGCGGCAATGCTTCAATACCTCCTCGCGTTTGGGCCTGTAATAAGCAGGTAGATGAGTATTTTTATAATAAAAAAGCCAGCAAATTAGTACTTTTCCAATTGTAGCAGCCAGAAGTCATCCAATCGCAGTTGCTGGTACTGGAATATGCCTGGATTGCCACCAAAGAGATAATGGGTCTTGGCCAGTTCATCGTAGACTAATTGATGGGCATATCGTGGGCATGGCTCCAGTACACCATCGCCTTTGCTGGCACCCAAAAAGTTGGCCTTATTAATGGAGTTCACATCCTGAGCATTATGCCGGCAGTAATAGATGCGTGACCATTTATGGGTGCGCAATGAATAAACCCAAAATGAATTTGAAGCATCTCCATGATGAACATCGCGTCTGTCCTTTACCTTGTTCAGGCTCTGAGGAATAAACAATATACATATATCATGGAATAACCCATTGGGGAAGTTCTATCACATACTGAGAATACATATATTTCATCGCGATCACAATCAATGGTAGCGCGGAGCGTGTAACCCGATGATGGCTCAAATTTTGCCTCCGTGCTGGCCGTGTTTCCGAGATGTGAATTCTCCTTGTTCATCAGTGAGATGGCCTGCGAATCCACATCGTAAGTAAGTAGCTCATCGAGATCCTCTTTTCCACGCTGACCCCCGTAAATGTAAAGTTTTCGTTGTTTCTGCCAAATCACATAGTTTTAAATCTTGCTCAATTTAAGGTCGTATTTAATTACATTATGAAACACCATGCAATGGGTTATGCGCGACTTAATCGACATAACATCCGCCTGAGAAGCGCTGGCATGATGACAATCCACGAGTATCTGCGTCCAGGTGTTTGTCGCAATATGATACGAAAATAGACCAGAGTATTCTGGTTCAGTCGATGACGTGGGGCTGCGAGGCGTCAAAATTTTGCCACCGAACACATAAATTGTCCGCTTGTCGGCATCGATGCACATCTGGTGATCGTACACAAGCTGTGGTCCACCCACTTGGCTGGTATCATCACAAATTTGCATCCAGGTGCGGGCACGTGTGTCGTACAAGTAAAAATCACTCTTGATGTAATCGCTGGTACGTATTGAGTTGTCCAAATAGCGGCCCAGCATAAAAATATTCTCGCTGATTGGATCAAAGATTATTTTGTGACAGGAACGCGGTGTTGGCCCATTAGCCGACTCGGAGCGCTCGCAGAGCAGGGTCCATTCGTCAAGTTCTATGTTGTATACCCACAAATCGCTGAGATCTTGGTAGCCATCCCAACCACCATATAAATAGATGAGACGTTTTTTGGCATCGACCACCAGTTGATGGCCACCACGGTTACCAGGTTTTATCTCGCTTTCAGTGTACTTCATATGCCAGGTATGCTTATAATCCTGCTTGTTCAAATACTCATCCATTAGGCCCTCATCAATGCATTCCGCAATAAATCGCTCCGCACGCTCAAAGTCACCTTGCACCACCTGCAGCAAGAAGGTATTATTAATAAATTGAGGATAATTTGAATGATATAAATATATATAACCAAGTATTTGTGTAATTCGCTAATGAGTGGATGCTCCAGTCGCACATTTGTCTGCTCCTGCAACGCCCCAAAGGCCTCCATATAACCCTGCTGACGGAAGTGCTTCAGGCACAGTTTAATAATCTCCGTTTCGCGCAGCGTATTGTAGTTCTTCATGCGCGCACATGTGTACATGGGATCGTCCTGGCCATGGAGCTCAATATACCAGATGCTGAAATTGAAGGATGGTCCCCATGACAACAATGGCACGATTTTCAGGTAGAGTATGGGCAGGTTCTCAGCGCCATCCTCAGTCATGCAGCGCAGTTTGAATACTTCAGGTACATTATCATTTTTAAGACCACTGCAAATAATCATTTTCATATTAGATTCAGTATCTGAACGGGGGTTATGGTTACCTACGCTTCGAGCAGTAGCACCATGTGCTCATCTTCCAATCCACCATAAACACGAAATTTCTTGATATTGCATACATGCGATTTCTCAAATTTACCAAATTTGATCTTCTGCACAATGGCGGGTCTTCGGAGTTTCAACGTAAGAAACTGTGGTGGGCTGTTCGTATAGGCTGACCAGCGAGAGGTTTGATCGTTTGGGCAATCGACGAGTACGTTTCTGTAATTCGTATATGAAAACAAACTGTAAAAATACCCACAGCGTTGACAGTAGCGACAGCTGCGCAGTTTACAACAACAATTACGAAATGCAACTTTGATGATAATATGGGCGGGACGCGTCTTCTATGTACATATATGCGCATAGGCACCTATACATACGCACATGTGCATATGCATGTATGTATGCGCATTTACAGCTACAGGAACAAAGCCTGTGACTTACTCAGGCAAATAGTTTGGCGAATAGCTGGAGTAACGGTATATCCCGAAACTTAGACGCTCGGAGAGCGTAAAAGGTTTCTGGGTATTTGTCCCGGGCACAACGGGCACAGCACCATAGGAAATTGCCAGTGAGCCATTAGAGCTGTCCGTGGGGCTCGATGTGGTAGTCGTGGAGGCAGACATACTTGCTAACACTTGAACACTTTTAGTGCAATTAATATTATTTACAGTTTACAGCTTAGTTCTACTGCCGGCAAGCCAAAATACGAAAGAAAAACAATTATCGTGCACCACTAAAGTTTCTTTATGGCATTCACAGATAAACGCCAACAAGTACGCAAACTGGCAGCCAATGAGATTGCTCCACACTTAACGAATGCGTTTCCAAACTTAACGATGTTCATTTTAAGCTGTTATAAGCTGCGATAAGATAAAAAAAAAAAAAAAAGATTTTAAATATTCCATTAACTCTTGCAATAGGTTTGGTGTATTATTGATTGTAAATAACTCAACCACTTTTGTTTTATTTTTAGCGAAAATTAACTATCTATTCGAATTTAAAGCTCTAATTACCTATCATTATGTGTAATTATATTTATATTAAGTTTGGAAAACAATTGCGTGTTTCATGTCTTCATTTGTGCACAGAATGTCAAAGGGCATGTTTATTTGGAAGCTATTTATATTTATTGTGATCTCTTGCGTATGTTATATGAAAATATTACGAGAAATCATAATGATAAACTATAAATAGCAATATTTACAGAACTATGCTGAGGGAGTGTATTACAAAATTAAAAATATTGAATGCAAAGCAAATCGAAGTCATTTTGAAAATATTTCATGTACTCTGAAGCCCATTAATTGGACGCGGTCAATATTAAATATGGACGGTGATATTATTGGAAATTTGCCAAATGCTTTTGTAAGTAAAGTTATCTATCTGATTTCAAAATATAATCATGCCTTTTTGAATGCTTTAGCTACTTGTGGAGACATTTTATCGAGACCATACGAATCTATATAAGCCATTTATTTTTAAGTTTAAATACAATATCTGTCAACTGCTTGATAAACGAAAACCCAGTAATTTTTTGGAGAGATATGCATTGCTTCATTTAAAATCGCTAACCAACATTAATCACAGTTGCCCATATTCGGTGAGTTTACAATAACTTTACTTCTAAATTGATATTATTAACATATGCCATTTAGGGACATTTGTTCGCTCGCAACTTCCACTTGGATGAACTTTCATTGCCACCGCTCCCTCTCCAAGAATACAAAATCATTTTTAATTTTACGTTAAGCAATCCTTCGATCAATTTAGCAATTATATTGCTGTATTTCGAAGCACGGGAAGACTATCACAAGAGAACCAGACCTGCTCGTTTCAAATTGTTTAGTTAATATTTTATAATTTTATTTTAACTGTATAAGTACTTACTAATATATGAAACAGCAGTTATTTGCTGGTTACAGGGTACATTTAGTCGAGCAATCGCAGATTAGAGTAGTTTTGCCAGGGCAAGGAGCAGTAATAACTATACTTATCGATATATCGTTAACGAGACGCAGCGAGTCGCTCATCTCTAGATAAAGCGTTGCATGGCATTTTTCTATCGTTTTATATTTACGTTCATTCTTCCATTTCTCTCCGTTTCTTATGCATAAATAAGTTTGTGCCAGAGTTTTAAGTTCCTGTTAATTTTAAAAATGTCTTTTGATGCTATACCTAAAGATCTGCGAGGCCTACGCGCATGTTTGGTTTGCTCCCTTGTAAAGGTACGCATTAATCATTAGCCGCATGCACAGTTCATTTAAAGCAATACTTTCTAGACTTTCGATCAATTTGAGACTGATGGCTGTGAAAACTGCGAGGAGTTCCTGCGCATGAAGAATAACAAGGACAATGTCTATGATCACACGAGTAACAATTTTGATGGCATCATCGCACTGACAACCCCGAACGATTCCTGGGTGGCAAAATGGCAACGACTTGGTAAGATCTTGTCCAAAGTGTGTGCAATTAAATAATCCATGTAACTCCCCTTGTAGTACGCTTTACGCGCGGCATCTATGCAATCTCCGTATCGGGCACCCTGCCACAGTCGACTCTGCGCGATATGAAGAATCGAGGAATCGTATACAAGACAAGGGACAGAAGTCAGCGCTAAGTGTGGTGTATGTTAGCATACAAATATGTAGTTTATTTAAAGTAATAACAAAGTACCAAAAGTACATACATCTAGAATAAAATACAGTTTTAAGAGCAGCTGCCATCAATCATCCAAGGAGCTCACACGCAGTCCAACGCCGCCTGCTGTGGTGACATGCACACCAAAGCCAGCCGCCTCCAGCTCCTCCTTCAGCTTCCAGTAGACCTCGTTGCACTCGTAGTTATCGGGCAGCAAAACAATGGCATATCCACCAGCACCGGCGCCGGTCAATTTGGAAAAGAAGCCACGCTTGAAGGCAATCGTAAATATTTGCTCCAGTTTCGGATGTGAGACGCCAATCGCCTTCAACAGATCGTTGTTGATTTGAAAAAGGCGCTCGAGTTTCTCGAACTTTTGGCTATCATCCTGCGCATTGCCAAAACTCTCGTACAGCGGCACTGCGGAGTTGACCAGCTCCTCGCACGCCTGCCAAATGGCCTCAATGAGCTGCGGAAACTCCTCAGCCAAGTGACGCACTTTAGCAACAATGTCAGCGGTGCTGCGGCTCACCCGGCTGTCCACAAGCAAAATGTTGAGCGGCTTTTGTATTCGCAGCGACTGAAAGCCCTGACCCTTGACGAAACGCAGAATACCGCCGTAGGTGCAAACTGTGTTATCCACGCCGGAGGGTGTCCCGTGATTCACGCGTTCCGATTCATAGGCCCAATGCGAAATCAAAGCCAAGTTTTCATCTTGCAAATAGCTCGTTTTATCGAAATGGCCTGCCAAAATGAGAAAAGCGGCAGCCAAGGCAGCGCCATAGGAGGCCGAGCTGCCCAGGCCAGCGCCCACATTCAACTCAGTGTCTACGTGAACCTGGAAACCAGATTGCAGTGTCAATGTGGGTTGATTGGGTGCCGTGAGCACAGCGCCTGCCAGCAGATAATAAATGGATATAAAAGCGCGCTGTGTGTGTTGCTTGGGTGTGCTGCCCACGCTACGTTCCAGCTGCTTGGCCACTTCAGCGCGCACCTCCTCCATTAGCTTCGCAGTGCTCTCCAGCTTGTCGCCGGGATATTTGCTGCGGAAGTTAACCAAAAATGCATTGAACTCGCTGAGTTCTATTTCCAGGGTGCAGTTGAGCGCCTCCAGCTGAAAGCTGGCCACCTGGCTGCCCGTTTGGGTGCGCAGCTGAAGCTTGGTGCCCAGGCCCACGACGGCGGCCAGTGCGGGCTTCTGATAAACAACGGCATGCTCACCATGTAGTATCACCTTGCCAGGAGCGTGCACCTGGAACTTAAGCATTGTTGTTGCTATGTGCGGTGTTTTTGTTAACCGCAATTTTATCTTTTGATCGGGATATTTGAATTTCTAATGGAGGGCGCAGCAGTTTATGCAAAATGGCGTCAAGCACGGTTCACTCGAGATCAGATTCTCGCTTTATTTGTATTTATGTATGTTTGGCTGAGTTTTTATGTAATGTTACGAGTAATTTGCGTTTTTATTGTAGCTCCGTTCATCGGCTGTTTCCCTTTCACTTTCTTTGTTCAACTGTTTTTGGGTTTCGACTGGCAAGCGTTTGTCTGACGTTGGCTGGTTGGTTCGGTCACACACACACGCACACACATGCAGGTATGTACAGGTTTTGGGCTCCACAGTTTAGCAACAGGTTACGGTTATTGCTTCTCTTGCTGTTGCACTTTCTCCCACTCTGCGGGCGTGTATGATTTTTGCGAGAAAGCGTGTATTTCCTTTAGTTCCTCGGCGAGCGTTGTGTTAACTCTTAAATTAAATGCATAATATTTATTGTAAATATTTTGTTATTTTAATATAGGGCGAATTACAGTCTGTGCTTTTGCAGGAGTGCTTTTCCCTCAAATGCTTTAGAGACGATGACAGCGCTGAATTTGCCCCCACATCCATCGGAGTCGTCTGAAACATGCACGTACGTTGCCTCGAGTTTATCTTTCAGCTTGTCTTCCAAATACTTTGCAGTGTATTTACTCATATTTATTTTGTTTTATTATTATTATTTTCTTTTAACAACCAAACTAAGGGAAATGCTGCACTGGGTGGCGGCAAATTATCGATATAAGAAGATTGCTAGCGAGGTTTGACATACGCTACAGAATATAAAGATGGGATGTTCATATGTACTAAAAAAAATAATATAATCACTATTAAAATTATAAACCTAGGTTAAAATTAACCGGTATCTAATAGTTCATAGAGGTAGGCATTTTTTAGCTGTTTATTATATAGCTACATAATTAGTGACGTCACAAGCGCGAAATGATTTCTTCCCTATCTCCCTATCGTTCTGTAGAAAATATCGTATGTACGATGCTATTCTGGACAACTATCGATTATTTGTCAAACATCAAGATATCGAAATTCTCTCATTCCTAATATAGCATTATTGTGCGTTTTGATAGCGCCAAAAATTACTCGTTTTTAGTTTTTTACTTATTTTTTAATAAAAAAGCAAAGTTTATACGATAAAACCAAAGTGAGAAGAGTGTGCAAATAGTTTGGAAAGTTTTAGATCATAGTACTCATGTCATTCTTTGGTGGCAACACATCGCTCGGTGCGACAAGCACACCGGCAAAACGTAAGTAAAATTTGCTATTCCTCAGGTGGTGGTGGTAATGGCACGGAAATGCCATCCGTTGTTGTGCCGGTCAAGCCGTCTTGGCCAAATACCGCTGCGGGGCAGAACTTGAAGGTAGTGAAAGCAAATTCCTTGCATCATGCAAGCTGTGCACGCGCAATTCCATGTGACTGATGTTGAAATATTAGAGAAATATGAGATAATAGTGTAAAACAGAACGTAGACGATCGCTACTGCACCCGAACTGTGCACAGACACGTATTATCACATGAGAAAACACGCAGCAGACCATGAGGTACCGATTGAACTTGGAGGTCCAACGGGCACCCTCGTGCCGAGAAGTTTTTAATTGTACTCGACTAGGAAGTAGCTTCTTTATTTGTTTCACTTACCCCTTTTTATGTATAACGTAGCCCAAATAGACCAAGAAAGACAGCAGCAACGCTACTAAGAAAATGATTAGTAACGGCATAATTGCAAAGACAGACGCATCTGCTGCTGTGCAGCTTCCAAAGCTTACTGATGCCCGACTCTCATCAAGCACGGCTCTCGCACTGATAAGATATGTTGCGCGGAAGCTGGACCAGCAACAATGCCTACCAAACACTGACCCCTTTTTGTGTTTCGCTTATCTCTTCTGTTAACAGCGGGCGGCATGTTTGGCTCAGCGTTTGGTACCACAACTGGGGCTGCGGCGCCGGCTTTTGGAGGCGGCATGTCGACGTCGACGTTTGGTGCCGCACCCTCAGCTTTTGGTGCAGCCCCAACAAGTGCGCCGGCTTCTACACTGGGCGGTGGATTTGGTGGTTTTGGTGCACAAGCACCGACAAGTCAGCCCAGCTTATTTGGAACTCCCGCAATTGGATCGGCACCGCCTGCATTCAGTGGTTTCGGACAGCTGTCAACATCAAGCAATGCGCCTGCTAGTGGATTTTCGGGATTTGGAGCAACAGCGACGACAGCACCAGCGTTTGGTGGCTTTGGCACCAGTCAGTCGACTCCGTTTGGCGGCGGCGCCTTCGGATCAAGTAAATTGCACACGAATACAGTTTAGAAAATTTATTAAATGTATTATTTTTGCAGCTTTTGGTAAACCAGCTGCGCCGACTGTGACGCCAGGTTTTGGTGGATTTGGTGGTACAAATTTTATGATGGGACAGCCACAGCAGCAGCCTGTGCCGATTTCATCGGATGAGGCCTTTGCACAGTCTATTCTAAATGTGTCTATATTTGGCGATGAACGTGATAACATTGTCGCCAAATGGAACTATCTACAGGCCATGTGGGGCACCGGCAAATTATTTTACTCACAAAGCGCTGCGCCGGTGGACATCACGCAGGAGAATTACCTGTGCCGCTTCAAGGCTATAGGCTACAGTCGTATGCCTGGCAAGGACAACAAACTGGGACTGGTTGCACTCAACTTTGATCGTGATCTGGCGACGGTTAAGTAAGTGCCAAAGTATTCATGTGTATTTTTCCTTCATTAATTTGGATGTTTTTTAACTTGAAGGACACAACAGCAACAGATTATACAAACGCTACACAGCTTAATGGGCAGCAAGCCAAATCTGTTGGTGCACATCGACGTTCTCAAAGAACTGGAGAACAAAAAGTGTCAAATGGTCATCTATGTGGAGGAGAAAGTACAGCTTTCGCATGGGCCAAATGATAGTAAGCGAATACTTGCCACCGAGCTGGCCAGTTATTTGGGTCAGGCACAAGTGAAGCCACAGCTGAGCAATCTGGGCATGACAGAAGCTTTGGCTCTTACACTGCCCGACGAAGATCAATTGAAGGAATATTTAGAGAATCCTCCCCGAAGTGTTGATCCACGCATGTGGCGTCAGGCTAATTTAGACAATCCAGATGCCAGCCAATTTATACCTGTACCCATGATTGGTTTTAGCGATCTAAAATGGCGCGTCAAATGTCAGGAACAAGAGACATTTACGCATGCGCTATACTTAAAGAAGGTGGAGGGCGAATTACAGGAACTGCGGCGGCGACATGCTTCCGCAACAGCTAGGATAATGGAGCACAAACGTAAATTAGCCGAAATGAGTCATCGCATACTGAGGGTAAGCGACAGAATGTGTCAACAGTTTAAAAGTGTCTAATATGTTAATGATTTTTCGATAGATTGTTGTGAAACAGGAATGCACTCGCAAAGTGGGCAGCACATTAACGCCCGAGGAAGAAGCGCTACGGACCAAGCTGCAAAATATGCAGGCCGTCGTCTCGGCGCCCACTCAGTTTAAGGGCCGGCTTAGTGAGCTACTCTCCCAAATTCGAATGCAGCGCAGTCAATTTGCCAACAATGGCCTCCCTGAATATGCATTGGAGAAGAACGCAGAAGATGAGATGAGAACCATAATGACCATGCAGCAGCGTGCAATGGAGGTGTTAAAAGAAACGGTTAACAAGGACCTGGAAGCGCTGGATATTATCATAAAAGGTTTGCCCGAATTACAGCAGACATGATCCTCCATATGACTGTTACCGAAATTATATAGTTGTTTGTCTAATATAGAGTCAATGCACACAAGATGTAATCGTTACAATTTGTTAATGCTTTTTTATGTTGCGATTGCCACCGGCCTAGTATTTCCTGTAACTTTGAACTTGCACTTTTATGGCTGGTGAGATAAAATTTAACAAATGTGTTGGCTCTCGTTGTAACAATCAAAACGAGTTCACATCACACGCTGCGGAAATTATGTGAACGACAATTTTGTACACTCACTCCAGAGGGTATAATACATTTGTTTACCTTTAACTATAAATATAAATTTTTTTTTTTGAAGATTTCTAAAGTGCTCACTTGCTTGATTTGCTATGCTTTTACATAGTTAAAATATTTAATGCGGACTGTTTTTAAATGTATTAATGATATGTTTCTTCGTTTGCATAGTATTTTAATGCCTAACTTAAGATTAACTTACACTTAAGTCTGTATTTATGCTAAAGTATTTCGACTTCGACTAGTTAAAGTGAGCTTTGTCATACAAGTTACTCGCTGTTCGAGTCAATGCACTTGGAGCAAGCGGCCGACTTTTCTTTGGCCAGTGCCTGAGATTGGACAATTTTGCAGCGATTACTTGACCATTTGACGCAATTTCGCTCGTTGTCTCTGGCTGCAACGAACTCATTACCAGTGACAAACTCACATCCAGTTTGTTCAACTCCAGGCGGTTCGAGATTGGGTTGTTACATTAACATTATTATGCAGCCAGCCGTGTGTGCGCGCGTGTGTGTGTGTGTGTGTATGTGTGTAGTTTATCTCGTTATATATTTGTTTCTTTTACGCTGGGAAAACTTGTTTCCCAGCTAACTGTGCCTGGATTGGAGCTGGCTCACATTGTTGTTGCTATTGTTGACTGTGGAGACTTCCGAGAGCTTCCGTTTTAAGACTGGGAAAATGGAAAATGATTGCTGTGTGTGGGGTATAAATGAATTCGTTGTGCCCAGGCCGCCTTACTCATTGTGCGATCTTTGCAACGACAAGTGACGGCTGCCGCTCCGGCAACGTATATGGACTAATAAAAGTGGCTAACAAATCAACAAAACCTGCCATGTCGAATGGGTCAATAATTGTGAGTATACCTCCGGTGTTGCAATTGTAGGATATGTTACGAATTACTTCCATCTTTCAGTTGCTCTTGTGGGCCTTCTGCTCTGGCGTGGCTGCCACGCCAACGACATCGATACCGCAGCGCCGTGTACAGATGCAGGATGATGTGCAATTATTGCATCCGCACATCATAACAATTGAACGCTTGGAGCATTTGTTACGGCGTGCTGGTGAAATCTTTGGTCCAGTTGTCCAAGCCGAAGACTCGGTATCGGCTGGCAGCCAAGTGGACGCCCAGGTGGAGATGCAGACACAGCCACATCAGTACATGCTGCCACCCACAGATCAGCCATACAACTTCTATTTGCCGCTCTATGATTACGTGGATCCCAAGCTGGATGCCAAGAGCCGGCACATGGAGAAGATAACGCCACCGCCGCAGAGATTGCAGCAGGAGCGCAATTATTACGCCGACAAACCAAAGAAGACGCCGAAAAAGTTTAATGCAGGGGCCAAGCACATCAATCTCAAGTGGCTCAATACCTACGAGAAGGCAATGGGAGGTGTTGCTCCGAAGGCCATTTATTTGGAACAGGATGAGCGTAATCGCATTAATTTCGATGACTCCTTCTTTGCGGTTGACATGCATGTAAAGACGCCTGACAATCAGCCGCACAAGGAGCCAAACGCTGTGCCCGTTGAGCTGCTGCAGCACGGCGAACAGCTGGCTGAGGATGACCTAATGGCCGCGCCTGCCCAGCTCGCATACAACTTCAAGCCGACTCCAATTGTGTTGTAATATTTTTGGAGAACTGGAAAACTAAATTGCTTCCAGGACAACTGTTATTTAATTGTAGGCGGTTACAAAAATGCAAAAATATATTTACATAAGTTTATACACAGGGATAAATTCTGTTGGATTACGATTTATATCCTAATATGTACACCTTTAAATGCATCCTGATCTGTTGCTCTTAATATAAGTTTAAAATACACTATATTAAGCCTGCTTCAGTCTAGCGACACCCTCGCGAACAACTTTCTCAATATCATCGAGCAGACCCGAGGCACCGAAGCGGAATAGTTCCGGCTGCAGCCAGTGCATGCCAAGCGTGCTTTTGACCAACGTCATCCAGGCAATTGCATCCCGCACATTTCTGATACCACCAGCCGGCTTAAGGCCCACAATTTGGCCAGTGAGTCGCTTGAACTCCTGTATGGCCCATATCATGACCAGACCAACAGGCAGTGTGGCGTTCACCGCCTCCTTGCCTGTGGATGTCTTGATGAAGTCCGCGCCGGCCAACATGCACACCATGGAAGCTTTGTACACCTGCAAACACAAAGTAGATAAATCTAATCAGGATGCCCATTTGTAATGACAGAAACTTACATTTTCCATAGAGCCCAACTCGCCAACAGCCAGGATGGTCTTCAGATGCGCACGTGTGCCGCAGGCCTGGCGCATGAGCACCACCTCATCATAGACGCCCTTCCAGTCACCCACCAGCGCCAGCTGTCGGTTAATAACGATGTCGATCTCCGTAGCACCAGCATCAACGGCGTAGCTGATCTCCTCCAGACGTGTTTTCAAGCCATATTGGCCTGTGGGAAAACCTGTGGCCACTGCGGCTATGGATATGTCTTTCAATTTGCCATACTGCTTCAGAGTCTTGTGTGCATCCGCCACGCGGGCGGGATACACACAAACGGCAGCACAATGAATATCCTTCAGCAAGCTGGGCTCAACAACTTTCTCCAAGAGCTGCGGCTCAAAGGGCAAACAGGCGCGCACGCAAAGCCGGCTCACGTTCGATGCAGTATCATCTCCAGCCAAGGTGGTCAAATCTACAAGCGTGACGGCTTTCAGAGCCCAAGCGACTTCATAATCACCCGTCACAGTCGAGCTCTTCGATATGCTGGATGCGATCCTATTGACTTCAGGCAGTGAAAAGTTGCTCTTGAGGAAGGTCGCATCTGATAACGAACAGATAAGTAAATAACCATAAGTAAGATTTTGTTTTTTTTTAGCCTATAGTTACACATAATATTTACCATATTTTAGCGTTTTGTTCACTTTAAATTCCATTTTGTTGCTCCTTTCCATAATTCTCAATTGGCAGTTTGTTTCATGAGCCAAGCCCCAACGTGTGTGTATGTGAATCTGTTATCAGCAGATGGCTGCCGCAGCTGTTGGCAGTGTTGCCATACTTTGATTTTCTAAGATCATTTTTGCAATCACAGGGTCGTTATATTTATATGAAGTTTTTAAATTAGTTTTAGGCGCCAAGAACTTTACGCAGTACATTTTTCATTTTTGTTATGGCACTTCAAGCCGTTTTTTTTATTCTGTAAGCTTTATTTTGATTTTCCTGCAGCGGCAAAAATTTATTTTTTGATTGTCGAAAACCGAAGTATGCAAAACACTTGTTAATGCTGAGTCTAGTTTATCACATTTCGTCGAATATCGTACTTTCTCTCTCGCCTGCTTGAAAATGGGAATAAAAGCCCGATCTCCGTCGCTGAAACTAAAAAAAAAATCAGTTTAAAATCGTTCCCGGGTGGCTGACGTCGACAAAAGTAGCTGCATTTAATCTTATCGTGAACCGGCATTTTTCTTCTTTTTTCTTTTTTATTGAGTGAAGTGTTAATTTGTTTTATACTCTGAAGAAATGGATAATTAGTTTAGCTAATAAAAAAGCAAAGAAAATCATAAGGTCTATTGTGAACGCAATGGGCGTAGCTAAGTCGCCTTAAGGACATCATTTACATATTTTGATACTTATTCTTTTTGGCAAAAGAATGTAGCCCCGTGGTCAAATTTTAATTCCACTTTCTTTTTTTTAACTCCTCTTTTGCCTTGCCCTTCATATTCTGTCCATTTGCCCATATTTTGTACTCTCTTCTCCTTCCATGCTCCGAACTTGGGATCGCCATATCTGGTGAAAGTAAAATTTTTAAGCAATTCGAAAACCACTTATACAGAGAAAGAGAGAGCATACAAGTCAGAACGGCAATATATATTTTTTAAATTAAATATGGCATAATTTGGGGTAAGGACGTTTAAAATATACTGAAAAATACTGATAAGGTAACCAAAACGAAATTCAAATAACCGTTAATCACTTATCTGTAACCACTTTCGAAATGTGAAAATAACGTTTATTTGAATTTGATTTATGTTGTCTTCACAGTATTTAAGTCTAAAAAGGACTCTAAACCAGGAATTTGAAAATTTTCAATTTTAATACTGAAATGCTTCAGACCGTATTTATTTATTATTTGTATATCATTCACTTTGAGCGGGAAGTTTGAAATAATTAGTGAGTATAATGCTCTATAATAGAGACATATATTTTTGCTACTTGTACTTCCTGTTTGAGAATTCTTAAGTTATTCTTTATTCGGTAAGGTATTGGGTTTTATCTGTGCAGTTCAAAGTCAAATAATATCAATGGAAATTCCAAATCGCATTCATAAATCAGCGGAAGTTTCAGCCATTCAAACACCTGTCTATCTCTATCCACGGCACAATGGTTCGTATCTTGTGCGAGGAAGCCCTTCTATAAAATGAACAATGCCAATATTTATTACATGCTAAGATTTTTATGGTTAAACTTTTAATTGCGTCTTATATGGCTCTACGTATGTATTTTGTTCTCAATTCGTCTCAAAATAATAATGTCAATTGAAATAGGGTTAGCTTCATTGAAAACGAGAATTAAGTTAGTAAAAAGAGGGTGTGCATTTTAAGACGTTCGACGTTATCCGTAAAATGTAATACAAATAGTGATTAGCAGACAATAAAGTGTCAGAATAGAGGCACTTTAAACGTTTTCCGTTATACTATCGACAGTTAAGCTGTGGGGTATTGTTTTGATAAGATGTAACAGGTGTAGACCACTTACCGATTGCATCCACTCAAACGCTTGGATTGCCATAGAAAACTTTAGCATGTGTGAGCAGTTGACATTATAAATAGATGGGCGATAAGGTTTGGCACCGCATATGCAAGTGGATCTATTGGCTGTAAAGTGGGCAGTTTTGCAGCAGGCTTACCATAAATATGACATCAATACCAACCACATACAATGAGAAGGATAATACCTGGAGTGGGGCCAAGCGGAGCTCCATCTTCAACTATGATATGTCTGTGGGCAAAGTCATATTCAATACCATGAGGAACTGGCCCAAAAATGTGTGCCAGGTGAGTCCTGAAAAAAAAAACAGAAGGAATGAGCTGAGCTGTTAACAACCTTTATGCAGATCAACGATGTTGACGGCGTTTCTGTCACCAATGGGCAGGGCATCACCTGGGCTGTACGCATTGCCCAGTACCTGAAAAAGCGGGGCCTCAACCACAAGGATGTAATTGGCATCGCTGCGAAAAATACCACCTATGTGATGCCCTTGGGTGTGGCCTGTCTAATGAATTGCACACCCTTTCATTCTGTGAATCCAATGCTCGATGAAGGTTTGTCACCCATAGATTTCACTTGGTTGCCTCCCTCAGTAGAATCTTATTTACAGCGACCATTCAGCATGTTTATGAAATAACTAAGCCAATGCTTATATTCTGCGATGGTCTGGATTATAAGAAAATACATGCGGCTACACTGGGCTGGCATCCGGAAATATATACCCTCAGCGATCCCATTGAGGGTGTGCCCAAGATAGAGACTCTGTTGGATCCGACTACGACCGAAATGTTTTATCAGTGAGTAACACAAACAAGTAAAATTTGATTGATTAGTATGTATCAAATATTTACTTGCATTTAGACCGGAACTTCTTAAGTCTGGCGGTGACCAAACGGTGGCCATTTTATGCTCCTCCGGCACCACGGGCTTACCGAAAGCCGTTTGCATTTCGAATAGTATACTTATACAGGAGAGCATGTAAGATTAAATTCGTTTCGTTTTGGTATGGAAAATCCTAACCATTCTATAACTTTAAGGCTCGTCAACAGCGAATCGGTTATCTTTGTGTCCAGCTCACTGGATTGGATTACTGGCCTGTGGGCCTTCATCTTCAGCACCGTATTTGGCTGTACTCGCATCATCACTAACCGACCCTTTGCACCCGAATATTTTGTGGAATTGGTTAAGAAGTACAAGATCAACTATGCCGTCGTGCCGCCGAGACATTTGTCCGCCTTGATCACGTGTCCGGAGGCCACGGCAGAGTCCCTAATGCCCATACGTATGCTGAATTATGGCGGAGGCCTGGTGTCCATGGCCACGCTGCAGCGTGCCCAGGAGATATGTAAATCGGCCATGTTTAATTCGGGTTACGGCATGACCGAAGTGGGTGCCATAACTGTAAATATTGGCATTAGTAATACCGCATCAGCGGGCCGACTACTGCCGGGCATTAAAATTCGAATTGTCGATGAGGAGGGCAAGAGCCAGAGCTACAATCAGGTCGGCGAGATCTATGTGCACACCGGACAGGCCTGGAATGGTTACTATGGCAATCCCGTGGAAACCCGTCGCATGCAAGATTTTGAGGGCTGGTTCCACACCGGCGATCTGGGCTATTTTGATGAACAGAATTTCCTGTACATTGTCGATCGCAAAAAGGAGATTCTCAAGTACCAGGGACTGCACTATTGGCCCACTGAAATCGAGAGTGCGATTGCGGAGCTGCCGCAGGTGCAGGACGTTTGCGTTGTGGGCATCTATGATGAGCGCGAAGGCGATGCGGCTGGCGCTTTGGTTGTGCGGCGCAAAGGCTGCGAGATTAGCGCCCAAGAGGTGATTAACCATGTGGCCAAGCGTCTGAATGGCACGCAAAAACAATTGCACGCCGGAGTCCGTTTTGTCGATAAGCTGCCAGCTAACGTGAACGGCAAGACTCTTCGAAAGTCAGCCCGGGAGTTGTTTGTTTCCCAGCCAAACTAAGACCACGAGCAAATATATTTCACTTGAATCGTGTACTTCACTTTATAAGTAAGAGTACTTGAGTTATAAATGAGATACAGATAACCAACTCTTTTGCATTAAGAGTATGCCATAAAGCCACAGTCAACCAACTAGGAAGTATTGTCACACTTGAAAATCTGCAGATAGTATGGGCTTAGCCATTAGTTGAGTCAGTCGTCCCGGTACCAAAATAACTCAAAACACTTATGCCTTGCTTTATGCCTGGCTACGTTAATATATTGACTAAATAACATCTTAATGCTTGATAAAGATCATTTTTGTCTTGCTTGTCATTCTCATGCGTTTAAAGCACGCGCAAATGAGGAAGTATTTGACACTTTTCAATTTTTTGATATTGGTATAGAATACTCTACTCCACGAGTAACAAGTCTTTATTAGATGTGATTTATAATTTATTTATTAGACACTTAAGATTGAGTAAAAAGCAACGTACAATTGCTCCCGCAAGTATCAAGCTATATATATGTATATATCATAGTGCCAACCAGGGCGCGTTAAAGATAATACGGAAAGGCCTTAGATGTTCTTTAGCATCAATAAAACAGCCGGTAAGTTTTTAAAGTTAAATGATGATTCTGTTGAACTTATGCTTTATTTTGCTTATCATTTGTTGAACATGTTTATCAGGCAATTCAAATCAGTCCACGTTTTCGATATGATCTGATTTCACATGAATAACAATCAATAATAGCTATTAGAGTATTTTTGAAAGCTTTCCACATTGACAAAAAACTATGATAAGACGCGGAATAAGATGATAAGAGTCTCGTGTTCGTTCTGTTGATTAAGAGTGATGACGCTTATGCCAGATCCTACACCTGTTTTTTTGTAACACACATTCATCGTGAGTTCAGCATTTGCAGATAAGATTTTCCATTAAAGAAGAATTCGTTCATACTTAAGTGAGTGTTATTTTAAGGAACACTTTATTTAGTGGTTGAAACTTGCTACGGAAACAACCAAAATTGATAGAAAATGGACGATTTCTTTAAAACCAACTACGATCCCATTCAACGCATCTGGAGTGGAGGGAAACCCGCGCCCATGTACGACTTTGATTGTTCAGTTGGTCGAATAATTCACAATAATCTCAGAAACAATCCCAAAAACGTTTGCCAGGTAAGCTCAGGTCTTGTGAAATAAATAAAAATTAATCAATTGTTTTTCTACTATGTCTAGATATGCCTTGCGGATGGAAAAACTGCAACAAACCAGGATATATTTAGTTGGTCCGTGCGACTTGCACAGAATTTCAAGCAGCGTGGACTACGCCACGACGACGTCATCTGCATTTCGGCCAAGAATAGCACCTATGTCACACCTGCCGCTGTGGCTTGCCTCTTCAATGCCACGCCCTTTCACGCAGTCAATCCCACTTTAGATATCAATACGCTTAAGCACGTTCTGACAATAACCCAGCCCAAGTTAATCTTCTGCGATGCCGTCGACTTTGAGAAGCTAAAAACCGCGAGTGCAGCCTGGACACCTGAACTGATAACAGTCACAGGTAAAGTGGAGGGCGTGACGTATATAGAGGAACTGCTCACGCCGACGAATACTGAAATGTTCTATCAGTAAGTTGAAGTGCATTCATATTCCAAATGGTTCTAAGGTTTATTCAACTATTTCAATTTGTTCCAGACCACAATTGCTGCATTTGGGCGGTGACCAGACTATGGCCATATTGTGTTCGTCTGGAACTACAGCACAGCCCAAAGCTGTTTGCATAGCAAACTCCATGTTGACGGTTGGCAATCCGTAAGTATTAGACCCTTTATTTTGTAGGCTAGAGATTCCTTAATCGTGGAATATTTTTGCAGCTTCGTTAACAGCGAATTGGTGATCTACTGCGGCTCCAGCTTAGACTGGTACACGGGTGTTTTAAACTTTTTGTACAGCGTAGCGGAGGGCTGTACACGCGTCATAGCCGATAAGCCCTACAGTGCTGAGTATTTGTTAGAGCTAATTGATAAGTACAAGATCAATATCATAAGTTGTGCGCCTCGTCACGCAAGCGAATTGCTCGCGTGTCCTCAGGCCACAGCCGCACGATTGGCAACGGTGTTTGTATTGGCAGTCGGGGGTGGTTGGATACCCCCCGTGACACTACAGAAGCTGAAAAATATACTTAAAAACGGAAATATCTATTTTGGATATGGTGCCACGGAATTTGGAGCAGTTTCTGCCGGTCCTTATATTGAGAAGTTTGGTAACACAGTGGGAAGGCTTGTGTCCGGAGTTAAGGCTCGCATTGTCGATGAAAACGGAAAGAATCTTTGCCACGGAGAAGTTGGAGAAGTTTATGTGCACAGTGGCCGCAAGTGGAGCGGCTACTACGGTAACCCACTGGAAACCCAGCGCATGCAGGACTCTCTGGGCTGGTTCCATTCGGGGGATTTGGGCTACTTTGATGAACACAATAACCTGTATATCGTGGACCGCAAAAAGGAAATATTCAAATGCCTGGGAATGCAGTACGGGCCTAGTGAGATCGAGGCCGTCATTGCTGAGCTACCCGATGTACATGCAGTGTGTGTGGTGGGCCTTTATGATGAGAAATACGGTGACGCACCTGCTGCCATGGTCGTAAAACGACCTGGCAGCACCTTGAGCGCAGCCCAGATCAAAGAGCATGTGGCCAAGCGGTTGGTGGTCGAGTTTAAGCAATTGCATAGAGGCGTTTACTTCGTGGATGAGTTGCCCCATAATGCCAATGGCAAGGTGCTGCGTCGAACAGTCAAAGAGAAGCTTACACAATCTAATTTTAATCATTTGTAAAGCTGTTATTTGTTTAGATATTAATGTATATTAGGATTTACTACACACGAGTGGGAAAAGAAAAAGTAACTTTTGTTTGCCAGCTAAAACATGAAACAAACTTTCTTAGAGCTTTGCTGTCTCGTAGAGCATGCAGTTAAAAGTGTTGCCCTAAAGTAGGCTTTTTATTTTGTTGCTTCTTTGTGGCATATATTGGAGTCTATATTAATCATATCCATCCCCATGCCCCTCAAGAAAAATTGTACGATTAGCCTGATCGATTAACTGTGATTTTATGAAGTCTTGGATTTTTCTATTCGATTTATTATAAAAAATATTTATATATGAATATGTTTAGATAAGTTATATATTTGTTTAATTTTATTTATATATTTTATTTTGTCTAAAATTAGATTAGTCGTTAATCTCCACAGTCGAGATACACTTGTATCTGTCGCAACGCTGTGAACAGAGTATTGCGGGTCCGTTGCATTCGACAGCATTTTTCCTACTGGTTATCTTATCAAAGAGACATTTATATAGCCGTTGACGCCGCATTCCATCTACACTACATTCAAACATTACCTATCATTATTCAAAGTGTACAGAATGCAATCAGTTGCTATACATTATTGGGATATCTCTCATAGGAATAGTTATCATTGTACTCTTTACTATATATTGGACTAGAGCTTATTGATTAAAACAGGAAAGGTCTCTGAAATTGCTATTCATACTGAGTGTGCTATTTGAGCGATAGGTGCACAGAATGAATACAGACGTGAGTTTCTGATAAAAAAAAAAATAGATTAAATGAAATGCAAAGCTATTTAAACGAGCCCTTTATTTTAGAAGCAGCTCAGTTTGTATTCAACTCTTGCCAGAAATAGTCAGAAAAATGGAAGAAATTACCTACGATCCGATTAAACGCATCTGGAGTGGAAAAAAGGCCATGCCCATGTACGACTTAGATTGTTCAATAGGCCGAATAATTCACAATAATCTCAAAAGTAATCCCAAAAACATTTGCCAGGTAAGCTCAGGTCTTGTCAGATGTCTAATTCAATAGATAATTTTCATTCTACTAAGTCTAGATATGCATTGAGGATGGGAAAACTGCGACAAGCCAGGAAATATTAAACTGGTCCGTGCGACTTGCACAGAACTTCAAGCAGCGGGGACTAAGTCACGATGATGTCATTTGTATTTCGGCGAAGAATAGCACCTATGTCACACCTGCTGCTGTGGCCTGCCTCTTCAACGCAACGCCTTTCCATGCAGTTAATCCCATCTTGGATATCAATACGCTAACACACTTGCTGACGATAACCAAGCCCAAGTTAATCTTCTGCGATGCCGTCGACTATGAGAAGCTAAAGACCGCGAGTGCTGCCTGGTCACCTGAACTGATAACAGTCACAGGTAAAGTGGAGGGCGTGACGTATATAGAGGAGCTGCTCTCCCCAACAAAGACTGAGATGTTCTATCAGTAAGTTAATATTATCAGCAGTATACCTAGTCTTTTTATTATCTATTTACGTACTTAACTGTGTATTTCTATACAGACCACAACCCTTGATTTTGGGCGGCGATCAGACTGTGTTTATCTTGTGTTCCTCCGGTACTACCGGCCTTCCCAAAGCTGTTTGCATTGCAAACCATACGTTTGATTGTAGTAACAAGTAGGTATTTAATTAACATAAGGAAACATTAGACCGGCACGTTATCCATCTTATTTATTTAGTTTTGTAACCTGCGAATCGGTCGCCTACTGTCCGTCTGGATTGGACTGGGCCACCGGCATTCTCTTCTTATTATGGAGCGTTGCGAATGGCTGCACAAGAATTTTAACGAACCGACCTTTCAGTGCCGAGTATTTTCTGGAGCTGGTTGTTAAGTATAAAATCACTACAGTGATTCTCGTACCGGTTTACATTTCCGCACTAGTCGCATGTCCCGAGGCCTCAGCTGAAAAACTAGCTAGTCTAAGGACTTTAGTCGTGGGTGGTGGGTGGATACCATCGGAGACACTTCATAAGATGCAGAGCCTGCTTAAAAACGGTGTTATCATCTTCACATATGGCTCTACAGAAATCGGTGGAATAGCAGGCGGCATTTATACGGAAAAGCTTGGCACGACAGTTGGCAAGCTAGCGCCTGGAATCCAAGTGCGCATATTGGACGAGAACTGCAGTAATCTGAGCCATGGAGAAGTGGGAGAGGTGTGTGTGCACCGTGGCCGCAAATGGAGCGGCTACTACGGTAACCCACTGGAAACCCAGCGCATGCAGGACTCTCTGGGCTGGTTCCACTCGGGTGATTTGGGCTACTTTGATGAACACAATAACCTGTATATCGTGGACCGCAAAAAGGAAATCTTCAAATGCCTGACGATGCATTACTGGCCCAATGAGATCGAGGCAGTCATTGCTGAGCTACCCGATGTCCAACAAGTTTGTGTGGCAGGCGTTTATATTGAGAAGTACGGCGATGCACCTGCAGCTATGGTCGTAAAACGACCTGGCAGCACCCTGAGTGCAGATCAGATTAAGGAGCATGTGGCCAAGCGGTTGGTGGTCGAGTTTAAGCGATTGTTTGGAGGCGTTTACTTCGCGGATGAGTTGCCCCAGAATGCCAACGGTAAGGTGCTCCGTCGAGTGGTCAAAGAGAAACTGACACAGGCTAATTTGGATCGTTAAAATGGGTTTCGTTAAACTTTAATTGTTTAAATACATTAATATCTTTTTCTAATTACAATTAGCCCCTGAGTTGAACTTAGGCGATGGAGTACCGCGTTAATAAGCCTATAAATATGCCCAGACGCTGCTCCAGATGATTAGGAGCAACGTCAAGCAGCTCTGACGACCTGCAGCCGCACTTAGCGCTGGTTGCGGCTGCTCCTCCGTGGTCGTGGATGTGATACTGGCCCCGGAGCTGTGCTCGTGCTGCGTTGGCTGCGGCAGCTGTTGCTGCCGTATGTTACCCGTTTTGATCTCAACCTTGGGCAAGGGAAAGCAATAGACGCGCTCGACCTCTACCAGGAGCGCGGAGGTGCTTTCCGCGGCCGTCTCGGTGACAGTTAGAGGCACACAAATTTTCGGCTCCTCGGCTGAGTTGCGTTCCTCGTAGGGAATGCCCACGCGTGTTATGTTGAGTGGCAGCTGGGGCAATAGGGTGTCCGGCACGCTCAGTTCGCTGTGCATTTGGGCGGAGTTTAAGCTCTCCTCGTAGTACTTATAATCGTCCACATCCTCATCAATGCGATCAATGCTGTCCACACGGTCGACACGGTCGATGCGATCGATGCTGCCGCTGCTGGCATCTGTGTAAATGCGCTCCGTGCTGCTCGAGGCGGCATCCAGAAAGTCAGTGGGCCAATTGAGCGCCACTGTGGTGAACTCTGTGGCAAGGCTAGAGCTGAGCGTGGGCGCTGGTGTACTGCTTACCTTTGCCATCACTCTTGGCACTGGCTGCGTGCTCTCGTAGCTGGGCGTGGGATACGGATAGGGCAGCGGCATCCAGCTGTCTTCGGTGGTTTGTCGATGCGCTGTCGTTGCCTCAATGGACTGGTTGATTTGTTTGGCCATAGCCCGCATCAAGGGATCCGACGCATTCATGTGTACCACTTCAATCGGTGTTTCGGATGGCTGCATATGTATATTACCTGGCGGTATGCGCCAGCGACCGCGTGATTCTTGGGAACGCTCGAAGCTATCGCGACGTGTGAGGGGGTTCTGATAGCCACCCGAAGCAGTGCGTCTCTCCGTTTCCGATGAATGCTCCTCGCTGGACGAATCACGTCTTTCATTCGCTGCAACTGGTACAAACAACTGGGTGAGTAGCTTACAAACCACATAGAAGCTTTAAGTGTAATCAATTGTGCTCAACACAATTAACCAAAAGCTCAAGTTATGCAACTTAAAGCTTGAGCGTCTATAACGTCCATAATATAAATACAATTAAGCTCCCTTAAAGCTCGACAAGCAGTTTGTCGTGAGTCTTGATCAATACAAACGAGCTCACTTAAAGCTTAAAGCTTCGCAGACTGCTTGCTAATCTTTGGATGGTTCTGGCACTTACCATCCGCTGGCAAGCCCATAAGCATCGCTTCGAGGCGTCCGTAAACGCGTTGCTTGGGCTGCGCCTCCTCACCGTTGGGTCTAAGTGGATGATGATCCGGCTTCCAGTTACCGTACACCACAGCCTCAGTTGGCATGGCTAGGTTCGCAGCATTGTTGTCCAGCTGCTCCTCACGCAGCAGCGGTATGTGCGTGTGTACCGTGGAGGTGGCAGGCATGGGAGCAACTGCACCGTAGCCGGGCCAGTTCATGGGTCCATGCCCGGGCATGGGCGGCGGTGGCGGCAGCGGCGGCTGCGGCATTTGCATATCCGCAATGCGTATACGACCCCGAGGCCGAAGTGCTTGCAGCTGCTGGGCATCCGGCTCGGTCTGGCCCAGGATCAGCTGGCAGCTGGACGCGATCAAAAGCCAGAGAATCGGAAGAGTCAACTGCTTGTTGGCCATAGTCAAATGGGACCAACAGTTTCAACGGTTTCTGTTCGTTTCAGTTTCGGTTTCTATTTACTGAAATGATGTGCCACTTTTTAAGTGGATGTTGTTGTTGTTTTTGTTATTATTGTTTTTGTTTTGTATCTTCCATTCACAGTTAGCTACTTCTTTATTGTTACATTGTTGTTGTTGTTCGGCAACGTAAACAACAGCAACAAGTCATTGTCTGAGACGGTATCGATTCGCAATTCCAACTGCCCCTCAATATACGCACTTTGTTGATGTTGATTTCAGATTTCAGTTTTTTAGTTATTTGATTTTCTTTGGCATCTGCTTTTGCACGTTTCGTGGTCTAAACGCGGCGGCTTCTAAACGGCAACTGACGTTGGCCAAATCAATTTGCGGACGGTTCAGTTGCCACCAGCATTGGGCCGAACGCAACGGCCAGAGAAAGATTCTTAATCATATAGCTATAGAAATTTTTCTTTTGTTCAGTTTTTCGCTTAATTATGCGCAAGAGCGTTAAAATTTAATGGCGAATAAACATTCTTTCGTTGTGGTCGGTGAAAATGCAGCGGATTTGATTTATTTCACGAAGCAGAGGGCTCTGCATATATATATCTCTCTCTCTCTCTCTCTCATATCTCTCTCTCTCTCTCTATATATATGTATGGAGGCTTATATGTTTATTTTGAGATTTATGCAAATAACTTGCCAAGTCGCCGTTTGTGCTACTAAAAATTTGGCTTGTTAATTTGTTTTTGGCATCGTTTGTTCTTTTTCAAACTATTCGTAAATATCTCCAAAATCCGTCGATTGTCGCTGTGGGCAACTTTTCACCAAATTGATTGGTTCAACGGTAAAACAGTTGTAGGCCGAAAAAGTGAGAGAATTTCACATTAGACTTAGCTATAAGCCACTGAGTTATTAATATTTATATGGCTTTAATTGAATACATTACTATATATCATTTAATCATTAAATGCCATCCACTATCGAATCTAAGTATTAGATTCTACTATAGAGTCTAGTAAAATCGAGCAAGCAATCATAAATTTTAAGTCCACTTTGCCTCAACTAAAGTACGATAATAAAAACTTAAAAAGTGAGCAAGTTTTTTTTATCAATTAAGACTTTTTAAAAAGTTATGCTTCGGTTGCGACTTAGTTTCGTCTGTGTCTGGCTAAAGATTCGGTTCACTTAAAATAAGGCTTTAATCGGGTTGCCGATACACATATCTGAACAATTTTGTCAAAATGTGATATATAACAACTTTCTAAACTGTGCATCTATCTCATGGGAACTAACAAATATTCACTTGTCCAAAATAATAGTCCTTAGTTATTATCATAGCCTCGTTTATGAGTGATGCTGAAAATACAGATTTTCCTGCCAAATTATTGGAATGGCGCCCATTGAAGCGGCTCTCGAGTGACTTCAACTCGAAACCACTCGAAAAAATGGAAACCAAGTCAAAGCGTCAAAAGAAAAGCTGTCATAATTATGCAACAGCTGGTCTGACGGGGGATGTCAATGGGCACAAAGCGAGGCATATGGAAAATCGACGCTATGAAAACTGAAAATGCTAAATATTAAAGAAAAAACTTATTCAGCATTGAATGGGATCAAAAAACGGACCCATGAGGTAATTTAAGCTGTGAACAAAAAATATAAAAAAAAAAAACAGCCAACAGAAACCGAATTAAAAAAACCCATTGCGCATTGTCACGTTTTGTGCACATTATATGGGTATGCACATGTGTATAAGAAGGGGATAATATGGAAATGGAAAAGCGTTGAATAATGTTGGCTTGGGGTCGCGTGTGTGTGTTTGGAAATTTTATTTTTCCGCTGCTATTGTGATTGTTTTTTTTTTTTTCTTTTCATTTATTCAACAAAACTTTCACGATCGTTAACATAAATATTTGTGCTGTGGCTGTTTTTAAGGTATGATTATTTTGGTAGATATTTTAGAATTTTGAGCAGAAATCACAGTTGTTAGTTAGTTTAAGAAATTTGGATCAGAAATGCAGCACGTTATCTGGTTGAGAGGTTTTGGTTGCGTCGACTCTCTACTGATTCTCCAGCAGGCCAATGTATTGCCCGTTCTGATTGGCCACACGCCGTTCCTCCAGCTTCTTGGCAAAGCTGGGATCATTCTTGGCGCGCTGCTCTAGGCGCTCCTGCTGTAGCTTGATGCCCGCATAGATCTGATCCAGACCCTTTTGTATCTCCTCGGGTATGGCTGGCGGTGTGGGTATGTGATCTCCCGTGGCACGGAAACCATTCTCGTCGGCTGTATATTGCACATTGACCAAGGTTCCCTCCGGCGATTGGTATGAGTATTGGCCGTGCTGCACTAAAACGCCATGCGGATTGGTATCGAAATCCTTGAGGAAGCCCGTCTCCTCGTGTATTATGTTATTGCCGGTCTCGTATTCGGTCTTGTAGCTGCCATCCTCGCTCTGTTCCTTGTTGTACTTCAGTATGGGTATCCAGGTGCTCGTCTCGCGTAGATCCTCATGGCGATGATCAGGTTTCTCATCGCGCGGAATATTGTTCGCATTTAGGTGTGCATGATGCTGATGCTGATGTTGGTGCTGATGCTGGGCATGGCACGAAAGGGCAAACAGCGAAATAAGTATCTATGAATTAAAAGAAGTTGAAATCTTATATCAGGGTAATATCTACTACTGATACTAGATATTTAATAGATAGATAATTGCGCGAAAATCATTAAAATAACCCGTTCAATTGTTCTAATGCCAAGGCTACTTTGACAGAAATGTTAGCTGGAAAAATTAATACATAAAGGTTTGCTAAACTTTAATAAATTGTGATAAAATTAAGAAAAGCCAATAAACTATTGAATATGAATAAATTATTATTAATAGAAGCAGAAGCTGAAGATATTAATTTTTATAACAGAAACTCAATAATTTGAATATATTTTATTAATTTTTATTTTGTATATAAAATAATTTATTTATTTTCCTTTTTTTCAGGTTTCAAACACAAAGACGGCACAACTTTCCAGGGTATGTAATGCTTACTTTTATTTTTTAATTTATAGAAATATGTATTACATAAACAGCTTGTAGACATAGCACGCCAGTTGATAATAATTTTTGGTTTATATGTTTAAACTCTTAATAGTTTATTTACTTTTACTTATAACCACGATCACACAAACCACAACCCAGACAACCACAACTGTTTTACAGATCAACTTACAAACACTTTCATTTTGTTATGCGTTGATTGATTGACGATTCACTTGCAAGGATTTGTTGTAACTGTGCATTTACACTTGTTTTTAGCAAATATGTTGCAGTTGCAACTGTTGACGCGTTTGATGCGGCGCCCGTTCGGCTGGCAAGTGAAAGCTGCAACGGTTCGAACTGTGCTGCGGCGGCCCTATTTAAGAGCTTTATATAGCCGCGCGACTTTGTCGGTGTCTCCTGCGCGCTCGCAGCTGGAGCCCACACCAGCGAGCGCCATGGCCAAAGAGACATATAAATAGAGATAGAGTTACAGATACAGTTACAGCACAGATACAGATACAGATACATTGGCATATTGTTGCAATTGCCATAGATGTAGAAGCTGTCGTTGCTCTTTAGCTCTGTCTTCTTGTTGTTGTTGTTGTTAGTTTTTATAAAAAACTTGTTAATTATGGGCTGAAGAACCAATGATCTAAACTAGAAATAGAATACTTTTGCTTTCGTCCGAATTGAGCATTTCAAGAGAGTTTTGAATATAGTTTTGATAGTTTTCTGAAGCATTAGCATATAATGATAGAAACTTACCCCTATACCATATTTGTATGATAAGTATTAAGATCCCCAGATCTTTCAATAGTCTTAATTCAACCTCTTTGGATTTCATATATAATGATAGAAATATTTATATCATATGAAGATCCCCAGATCTTTCAATAGTCTTAATTTATTTTGGTAGCAACGTCTTTTGATTTCATATAAGAGTTATGCATAGTTATGGCATGGTATGGTAATAGGCACGGCGCAAAGTGTGCGGGTTGTCTGCGTCTGTCCGGTCGTTCATCTTCGTAATGCCGTTATTTAGAAATAAGCCAGAACGAGTTTTTTCTGCAAGCTTCGACAACGTTTGTTGTCTTCGCCAAAATGCAGCCGAACCATGCAAAACGCTCTCCCAGCCAGTTTATGGTCGAGAGTCTAACTCACTCGCTCTCTCTCTCTCATTCTCATTCTCTCTCTCTCTCTCATCTTTGTTTCTCTCGCTCAAGTGGAGAAGATGTTGCTGGCAGTGGCTGCGTTTGCTTGGATTCTTGTAATAGCAGCAGCGCCTTTTGACTGAATTGTTTGCATGGCATTAGGGGAATTCGCTGGCGGGGGGGAACTTGGCATAGAGGACAGTGACATACAATATATGTGGCATAGACTGAAATGAAAATTGTTGTAATACTCGTGCAGCTATGGATCGGGTTTGGTTTTTGTTTGTTTTTCGCTTGCTGCAGATGAGGCAAGACGATAATTGAGTTCAAAACGGCAATGGGTAATGGATCTTGGCAAATGTTAATTAGTTGTGGAAAATGGGTCAAGCTGTGACGACAATATCATGCAAAAGCGATTACCACGATTACTTGCCAATCTCGGCTGATGGACCCCCCCCAAAAAAAAAAGAAAACATAGCAAATAAATTTGATTTCAAAGATGCGAGAATCACTTGCAACATAATGCGAAAAGTTGAATAACCGCGTTGCCGGTTACTGAGAGAGGGAGAGAGAGAGGGAGAGAGAGACAGGTAGAGCGAGCAAAAACTGGTCAACTCTTGCCGCTTGCCATAACAACAATATTTTTGGGCCTGGCCACCGCCTGCACAGCCACACCCCTCAACACCAAGCCAAATGATAGTGCCGTCTTCGTCTACTGCCCACCCAAGCCAAGCCAAGCCGAGCCAAGCCAAGCCAAGTCAAGCCAGAGAGCTATGCATGCCAGATTGTACGGCTTGGCTTTTGAGACCAGTTACCATTTTGTTGGAGTGCCCGGGATGAGTCACCCGAAGCGGCGGCAATTGTGCAATTTTCCTCAGTTGGCTGACTCGAAACGCAATGAAAACGAAAGCTGACAAGGTTAGCTCCAGAGCGGCATCCTCATACAGCTCGCATACTGACCCACTTACTTGGCCCATCGACTGATCAGCAAACTGGGCCTGTGGTATCGGCTGGCCATTGAAAATGTCAAATGATTGGCTGCTGCTGCATTCTTGGGTTAGCATTTGTGGTAGGTTGCATCTTTAGCTGGAAATTGTGTTCTTAGCTCGTGCGCCATTTGACATTTAAAGCTGAGCTCACAGACGGAAGATTGCAGCCTGAAGACTGAAGACTGGTTTACAAAAAAGTACGGCGAGGCAATAAATTTGGCGGCAATTTCAAGTGTCATGATGTTGTGAAATTTCTTGTCAGTGGCTGGCATCTTGAGCTTGAATCGTAAATAATGCTCTAGTAATGGATGGAGATGTCTGTCTGATCTGCGTAATCATCGCCACTTGATAGACAGGCCACGTATAACCCTTGGTAATTGCCAATTCTAACAAGCATTTCATTGTTGTTCTTCAAAGAAATTCCAATTTTATCCGATTGCGTTGTTTGATATTGTGAGCTGATTTTGAATTCAGAATATATATACCATATAATTGTATATATCTCAACTAAAGATACGTAAGTTTATTGACCGACAAAAAACCCATTAACTTTTTTTTCATTGATAAAACACATTTTATTTCGATTTATTTACCTATTTGCCGTGTTACTCTCCCGCTTAGGGAAATATTCCAAAATGACCAATCAGTTGTAAACAAGTTCAAATATAACTTAAAATCTCCTGTGGGCATAATGAGCGGCAGATGTTCAGCTACGTTTATGTTGCGAAAGTAGTATAGGCCCTTTAAATGTGCATATAATATTATAGAGATTATCATATAGCATGCGTAGGGCAGACTCACCTTGGGATGAGGACATTTTTTTGGAAAATTACTGTCCCTTACAATGCTTTTGTAGGCGATGTCCAGGAACTGGTTCCTGAGTGAGGTCTTATGGAACTGGCATAGATCGATGTTCAATTTGAAAATCCTCTGAAATTCCTTCAACGTTGGGCGTGTATATAATGAAAAGCTGGCGTTATACTGATGAAAATCCTGATTATATATTATTTCGGTGGTCAAAAGAGTACTTTCTGCATCTACTATGCTGCATTTGCGGGACGTTACAATATCGCTATTGACGTCACAATTGAAGCTCTTCCAAACCACACTCAAACGATGTACGGGCTGAAGAATGTTAAGGCTTGTATTGCAAATATATAGATACAAATTATATAACACTCAAGGAGACGAACCTTGTTGGCGAGATCAGCCATTGGCAATAGCAGTGCCAAAATATATAACTTTTCCATTTCGCCGACGATTCGGATTTGATTGATGAATTAATATTTGCCGCAGCTCAAATATCGAATATCCGAATTGCGTTGTAGTAATTTATGTTAAACTGCTTGAATAGATGTATAATTATATATTTATTCTGTGCGGCTACCGATGAAAGAATTCGAAGATAATTTCCCTTATCAGACTGAATAAACTGATCAAGCTATTTTAATTTTTGTTGTCAAAAGTTGCCCTTGTTTCGAATACCTAAAAAATTTACATTATGCACTATGACGCACATTAAAAATATAATATCAAGTATAAATGTGCTTAAAAATAAGATTTTTCCTAACCCCTATGCCTTGTAGGATCAGTCAAACGTCCGCTTAAGGACAAATTAAAGACCGGCACATTGGGCAGAAAGAAATCTAATTGCACTTTGAAATCGTATTTCGGTAAAAAGGGTGGCAGGTTCTCACCGATGCTCATGTTGTGATAATAGTAGAATCCCTTAAAATATTTAAATATCAATAGACTTTTGCTTGATTTTGATCTGCGACTCACCTTTGGCTGTGGACATGTCTTGGGCATGTTGCTGTGCTTCATCATGCTAAGATAGGCGGCTTTGATATACTTATTCTGATAGGCGCCTTTAAAGAACTGACACACGTCCATTTGCAGCTCAAACACTTTATAAAACTCTTTAAATGGTGGGCGTGGCACGTTTAATACAAAGATCGCATTAAACTGCTCGAAAACGCGATTATATTCAATTTCGCTCGAAATGATCGTTTTTGCCGAATCCATAATGGAGCATCTATGGAATGTGACAATCTCTGGGTTTACATTGCAATCGAAGCTTTTCCAATGGACAACTAGACGCTTTTAAGTATTTGTGTTTCATTAGAGATAGAATTTGGGATATTGATGTAAATACCTTGCCTTCTAGACAGGCTATCGAAAGCAGAAGCACTAAATGATAAACTTTATCCATGCCAATTGCTGGCCAGCTTAATTGTTAATAGCACAATTTCGGCTTGTGTCGTGTTTAAATATGGAAATGCACAGCCGAATTATTATTGTTTTTTAAATACCGAGATAAAATTGAATAGGTAAAACTTTTATGGCTTTAACCATTTGGATTTCAATAAGCCATTATTGTTTTAGAATATCGTTTATTGCCTTTAGTTGCTCATAACACAACCTTTAAGCGTAACATTTAAATAGCTTTGATTTTGGGCATAGAAGTTGACCTGGGTCATTAAATGGCTGACTGGCACAAAGCTTGGCATTACCTCCTCTACGCTTATATTATGATAGTAAATGAAACCCTATAATACAGCTGGTTTTTAGTAAGAGGATTATAAATCTACTATGAGCAGAGCTTACCTTTTTTATTGGACATATTTTGGGCTGATTGCTGGACTTAATTACAGAAGCATAGATTTTATATGTGATTCCCTTCTGCGAGAGCTGAGAAATAACTCGACAACCGTCCAGAGAATTGTCAAATAATTTTCGATATATAACCCCCGATGGGGGCTTCGTGGAAATAAGTGTATAAACTTTTATTGATCTAAGTTCCTGCAGCAAGTTGAGTTCCACATTTAGAGCTGAACGTCTTGGCTGCACCACGTGGCACTTATATTCGGACACGAAATCGGTGTGGACTCTGCAATCAAACGAGCTCCAGCGTAGCTTCAAATACCTGTGCTGTATGGGAAAATTGCTTTAAACAAAAAAAACAAAATGATTTTTCGGTTTTCTGTTACCTACCCTGGCCGAATTACTACTAAAACTAAGGCTTACTATGAATATAACCATTATCCGGTAGTTCCGCAACAATGAATGATACATGTTGCTCTCTGGTTATAAAATGATAAATGTCTAAACATCGAAATGTCCGTCAATTATGCTTAGGCCTCTATATCGAGCAATCACTTAAATGGAATTCAATCGTGCGCAGCCAAAACGCTTAAACACAAAATAATGTTCAACCGAATGACTGAATGACTGGCCGATTGGTTATCAATATATAGTGTACTATAGATATAGGAGTGCTTTATAGATATATGTAGGTGAAAATTTCCCACCCCCATAACTCGGTCAAATCTCATCAGATTTCCACAAGATTTGGCTCGTTGTTCATCGTTTGGGCTCTAGATCAATTTGGTATCTAAATCTGACAACATTATTTTTAAATTTCCTTTATAGACATAGATCAAAATTTCAAACACCTCATTCGCTTATAACTCAACCGATTTTCACGAGGTTTGGTTGTCTGTCTTTTTATTTTGTACGTGCTACGGGCAAGGCCGCGTATACCCGCTTCTAACTTAATAAAGCAGCATAATTATGTATGCTTCGTTTTTTGCAGCTGAAAAAAATACAGAGCATAAGAGCTGAGAACTATAGCATACTTTCGGGCATATTTGTTGAATGCCTTTACATTTATTTTTTACTTCGATTGCATTAATTTTCTATAAATATTTCCTCTTTTTAGCGTGTTCCTTGGCAATTTCGTATAGACGTCCCACGGCTGTGATATTTAGTACCGAGGCAACCTTCGGTAAAAACCAATTAAATCGAATGTGAAAATCGGATTCGGTTAGAACCGGTGGCAAGGACTCAACGACCGTGATGTTCTCCGCATGATAAAAGCCCTTTCAGGAGAAAGGCAGGCGATCAGGTAAGTAGTAGGTTCTTTAAATTTCATTGAATGATTATTACATACCGCATGAATTGGACATTGTATGGTTCTGTTTCCCAAGCATGTCATTGTACTGAGCAATTCGATTAGTGTCTTTCTTTTGCGCTCTCGCAACACTTTGCACAGCTCAAATGTGATGTCAAAGATTTTTTTAAGTTTCTTTTTCCTTGGAATCGGTATGGATACCTCCAGATTGCCAATAAGGCCCGTGATCCTCTGCATAAGCCTTAGAGCTGCATTGATGCTTCTATTACGCGGTGGCACCGCATTGCAAACCACTTCGGTTACATACCTCGAATTGGCCACACATTCCAATTGCCGAATGACAGAAAAGTAGCCCATTTGCTAGCAAAAATACAAGATGTTTTATGCTCTTCCATGATATCAGTTTCTTTGCCTTCGTCTTACCGGTAACATTTGCGCTGAGGCGTAAGCACGCAAAATGCTGGCTAAAAGGAGAATGCACAAACTGAATTTCCACATGCCGGCGACGGCTTGCACCTTCAACTCAAACTGAACAAATGTGGATCAGCAATTGGCATTGGAATTTTTCGATAATAAAGTAATTTGACCGTTTAATTATCGGAACGCCTAGTCCATTAAATGGGCATGCGTTATTAAATGGGCAATCTGTCTATATATTTTCAATATGCGAGGTGTGTTTCTTAAGTTTTCGTACAAAGTTTATGCAGTGAAAAGATGTTTCATCTAAAGAAATTATTTCTCTCTTTTATTAGCTATATAAATATTTTTGGCAATTTTTCAAGTTTTTCCAAAAACTAATTATAAATGCTACGAGTATGTAAAAACTATATTTTAGTGACTTGGCCAAAGCTTGTTTCTATGTGATTCAAAATATCCAAAATTTCTTCTCCTAAAGTCTTCCCCGACTTTTGCCAACATTGCCTTCAATCAACTTCATTAAAAATAAATGTATATATTTAATGTTTGCAGCATTTCAAAACCTTTACATTCAAGACCCTTCTATTAACTAGCTGCAAACACCTCGTATATTGTTTGGGTATTTGCATTGATTGCGATCTGTGGACATTGCCGAACGAAACTGATGAGCAAACAAATCAGAAGCGATCATATCAATGCCAGTAACTGCGGTTGCGCAGCGATTAGAGCATTTAGATTAAATTGGTATTTCATATTGATTCGGTTTTGGTGTCGGCTTCAACTGGCTTGTGTGTAAATAATCTTGGGGCTCATCATCATCATCAGCAGCAGCAGCAGCAGCATCAACCGCAAGTTGGCGTGAAGGGCAGCTTGGTAATTTTGTAAGCGCCACGAGGCTGAGAAATACTCAAAGCGAGTGCTTTGCAGTGCATATGAATATTCGTTAAGTGGCAATGAGACACAAACTTAATTGTTCAATATTTATTCGTTTATTTATTACTTCTTCATTTCATTATTTTTTTGGGTATTCAGGTGTCTGTGTATGGCTGTGTGTGTGTGTGTGTGTGTGAATGTCAGTGTCAGGACTGAATTCTTGGAAACCCATCGTATGTTTCGTATGGCATAGGGCAGTGGGGTGCTATCTCCAGTACGTAATACTTTATACGATATAGGATATACATACATACTTAATGCTAATTACTTAATTACACATACGCCCGGTTGACGCTACTATTGCGGCGCAACTGGCAGATGATCACCCTCCGGCTGGAAGCCATTCTCGTCGGCAACATAGCGTAGGGTGATGAGATTGCCCTCAGGATCGCTGTAGCTATAGGAGCCAGTTTGCACCAGTACGAGTTCCTCGTGCTCCTCAATTACCTGGCCGTCGCCGGTCTCCGTTCGCGGTATGATGATCTTCTTCAGGTAGCCAATGTTCTCCACCCTTATGCCATTCGATGTCTCATAGCTGCATGGGAGAAGAGGTGCAGGGGTTGGTATCAACTTCTTGGGCGAGGAGTTGTCCCAACTTACCTGCTGTTGAAGCTGCCATCGGCATTGTTCACATTATCCTGCTTTATGATGCTGGCTGGCGTTGTTGTTGTTGTTATTGCTCCAGCGGCGCGCGCATCCTGCGGACGGGCCAAGACATAGCTGAACAGCAGAGCAGAGCACAAGACACACACGAATTTGTACATTTTATTGCGATGAAACTTTAATGGGGTTTTATCCTGTGGTGTTCGGTATTTAGAGCGCGGAAGCGTATCAAGTCAATTCCAGCGAGTGAATGCAACAACTGTTGTCTACTCAGCTGCCGCTTGGCCTTTATATACCATCTTGTTGACGAGGGCGAGCACCTGATTCGCACTCGCACGCACCGCGCCAGCTTCGGTTGCCACATCCAACGATTACGATGGGCGCACTAGATAAGAAGCAGAGAGCGTCAAGTACTCGTACTCGTACTTTACCATAGCAAAAATTATGAGCGGGCGCTTCTTCGTCTCATTTCAATCATACCCTCTAGTGTAAAAGTGACTTAAGCGGGTATGCAGCTTACATTCAGAAAACTTGTTATTTTTTCTGAGTCTGGATATTTTCATTCCATAAATTTTGTAAGTCTTCTACACAGTTTCAAGCCACCAGCTTTCAAGGTATTTTTCGAAAATATTCGCAGTCTATGCAGACTTTAACAAGAACTAGATATATGTTACAAAGGGATTGATATGAAGGGTTCACTGGCTTTACCTCGGGTTTTTTGTTAATACTGCTCAAGATCTTTAATGTTTTCTTAGCTCCAGGGTATCTCGTAGCCGTGCACTATCTTTTTGGGCACATGTTTTGTTTTGGTGTGGCCATCGTTTGAGGTTTTTTTATTGTCCATTTCGCGCGTCTGGCCGATGAGTAAACACCGCCGCACCGTCAAAGAGATGAAGATGAAACGACGATGTCAGCGGGTGATACCCGAGGCTGGGACTACGACTGCTGAGCTGTGACATGTCTCCGTCTTCTGTCCCCCAAGACAATGTTGATGACATTGCCAGACCGAGTTGGCAGCTACGTGATTTGCCTGCGCAGAACATAATTCTCTTTCAAGCGCTGTAAGTTCCGTTGAATTAATCGCGCTGTCCAGGTTAACTTCAAGCGGAGCTTGAGGGAGGAAGTTGGCCGTTAAGGATTTAAGTTAGTTTAACAGCGAGTGTTAAAAGATTCGCCGCATAGCTAGCTTTCTTGTCAATCGATTCCATTAAAGTGTCATTATTGGCAAATACCAAGAGGTAGAACTTCTAATTCCAAGCACGTTTCAATTATGGAAACAATTTGAGCACTCATAAATACGCACCTGATCTAACGGTGATCGCGAACAAAGGGGCAATAAAAAATGTAGACTACGAGCATTGTTAGAGAAATGATATAGTTGGGTATTACGTATACGCAACGTATATTTACAATGGGTCAATGAACTTGAACTGTGACCAAATCTTTTTGACAGGGTATATAGCACGGGAAAATTGTGCGACATAGGAATAGTATACATTATCAGCTGCATGAGTTTACTTGAATTCAGTATTTTCAGCAGATTTTAGATTTAGTTGTGCAGTACTAGAAGAGTTCAATTTAACAGACGCTTGCTAATTAAATGAAATCATACGGAATTAACACTTTCGTTTTCTGCTTTGATTACATAACACAAAGTCAAAATCTGGGTACCATTCCAAGTATTACTGAAAATAAAATTGTTTATACCAACATTTGCCCTCGACTCAGCTTGGGCCACACGAGCGCATAGAAACGCGTATTTGCCAATTAGAACCCCATTACGAAGAGCCTAACAAGTCGATTCTTTGGCTCTGGCAAATGCATAACTGCAGCCGAGCAAAACTGCTAACTAAGACAAATTTAACAAACATTTCGCATACAGCAGGTCACGCCAGGTAAATCATACAGATCACACAAACTTTGCAGAATCTGAATCTGGCTTCACTTTTGGGCGAGGCACCCAAAGTAAATGCGCAGCCGGAGAACGGCAACAAAAGTTACGCAACCGGCATTAAAGTGAAGAGTTTAATTATTCAAAACACGTTTCAATTGTGAAGATCATTTCGCACAATCGAGAAAGTAATCAACTTACGCGAAAACAACAAATATTTCCTTCTTTTGCTATGCAAATAATTTAAAGCACAAGCATTTTTGCACATTAAGCTCTTCAGTTGATTTGAGCTGAGTAGATGAAGATTATTATAATTTAAAGGCTTTTGATTTTTATATATTTGTTGTTTTTTCAATTGGCTAGTTTTGTGTAAATTTTGTATAGCTTGAGTTGTTCAGTTCTTTTGGTTCACAGTTGTTTCATTTTACATTAATGATCACATGTTTGCGCTGAGCACTTCGATCCCTTCAAGACTTCTGCTCGCTGGGCTGATACGGATGCTCTGCCAGATATTTGAGGGTTTTCAGCACGGACTCTGGCGTGGGCGGAGGTGTTGGCAAATGATCGCCAACTGGCCGATAGCCGTTCTCGTCGGCTGTGTAGGATATGGCATACTCCTTGCCATCATCGCCAGCAAATGAGAAATGCCCTTTGACGGCCTCGCCGTATTGATCCTTCTCGACTTCTTTAAGTTCGCCATTCTGCGTTGCTTTTGAGCCATCGAGCAGCTCATAACTTTTGGATAGAGGGCGTTAAAACTTGTCGGTCCTGAGTTTGGCCTTATAAACTTACTGGTAGAAGAATTTGCCATTGTATTCCACGTTCGACTCGTTCGATATAAAGTCATTATTATCGGTCGCATGCGTCACAGCCACAAATAGAGCACATAACAGAATTAGTTTCATTTTGGTTAATTTGTATATTTACTAAATCCAGAATAAATATCCAAGCTGTGCCAATGCTTCGGGGCGACTGACATTGGGAGTGCTAAGCAAACAGACTTTTATAGTAGGATACTAAAAATGCGAAAGCGAAAAACAAACATACAAAACTAATAAAATACCTGTACTAATATATTTAACATATAATTAAAGTGGGGGCAATAAATAATATTGAACTTGTTTGGTTTGTTTTTGGCCTTTTCAGAATGGGTGTGAAATTTGGTGCAGACGCTACGCAAAGCCAAGCGAACCTGCTGAGCACGATTTCTATGGGTATCCATACACTCCTAGAGGTATAGACACTTTTGCCTAATGGATATCAGCTCGAAATATACAACTTTTTACAGACTTCTAAATTGTGTTTTTCACACAGAATTTTGGCAATTGTATATTCGATGGAATTACACGTTTTGGCTTATGATTGGGTTAAGGGTATGAGTACTTCGGCGATTCTAGCTATTCGCTTTTATTTTTAGCCTAAGATTATAAACAATGTGCATGTCTGTCTATAAGGTGCCTGTCGGCAACGTCAGCATCGGATTCTGGTTCTTTATGGAACCGACTTGACCACATTTTTGATCAGCTCTAGCCTAACCAAATGATCAATTCATTTGCATACAACAAATTTGTCACTTTTGCCTTGAAATTTAAGGAAAAATAAATTTCATGTGCTATTTTTAAATATTTTTTCTAAAGCAAGTGCTTTACTTATAATGATTGAAAACCTTATAGAGAAACTATAAATTAGCTCATATGTCTCAGGTTTTCTGCTTCCGGCTTGAGAGTTTTTTGTAGCTCCCCAATGAAAACAAGTTAGAAGTTTTTTTTTTTTTTTTTTTAAGAATCTTTAATTCTTTATTTGCAGCTAAGGCTATAGATATTTGAGTTCTTCTCATATGTTTACATCATTTGACATGTAAAAAAAACCAACAATTCATATAAATGTATGCATATGTATGTATAAGTAAGTACATCCTCGTCATCCATATCGCTTATACTCGTATTACATGCAAAAGATTATAGTTATATAGACTATTTACACAAGAATTGCTGTGCACAATAATTGGATTATTATATCATAATTCATTATTATTTCTTGTTCATTCCTCATTTCTTTTTTTTTACATTTTCTTCTTGATTTCATTAATAAATCGATGATATCACATGAGTCCGAAAATGGCAAAGTTCCGGCGACTAAAAGATCTTAAGCACAGTTTTAGTTTAAAGACGATAAAGAATAGAAGAAATCGGATTAGGGTTTCGGAAGGCGTCAAGAAATCAAAACAAAACAAAATAATGAAACATAGTTGAGTGTTTGTGTGTGTGTGTGTGTGTGCGTGTGTGTGCAGGTTGTGTTCTTCAGTCAGCTGCTCGATGTTGGTGTTCGCTTTAAGGTATTGATTGATGATATACGGGCTAGCAGCAAATTGCTTTATTGTGTGTAGAGTATCAGAGTATCGTTCGCATATTGTCATTTCCACCTCCATATCCCTTTAAAAGGTATCTACCTAACGACGACGTTGTGCAGGCGGCAGGCTGAGCAGATAGTCGAGCGCCTTCTGGATCGCTGGCGGAATTGGTGGTGGGGTTGGCAAATGTGCGCCCTGTGGCTGGAATCCATTCTCATCATCGGCCGCATAGTTTAGGGTAATGAGCTCGCCTTCAGGCGAAGTATAAGACACGGAACCCTTGACAATGATCACATCCGTGGCGTCCGCAGAGGTGGCCTTCTTCACAGTGCCAGTTTCCTCAGCCTTGATACCATTGGCCGTTTCATAGCTGCAAAGTTTCAAAAATAATGGGTTGTTTTTTATATGTTTTTTTTTTTGTTGCAATTGGGATACTCAGAATTCTCCTTGAAAGCTGTGAAAAAGTCATTTCGCTGTTATGAATGCTCGCATGGGGTATTTACTTTTTTGTCTAGATATTTTATGCAAGAAATGTATATTTTTTAGTGCAATAAAGCAATTCCCTCCATCTCTCTGTCTATGCAAACTGGTCTTAAGTTCAAAACTGTTGATTAACAACCTTATTTTTTTATAATTAACATTATAATCAAGCATAACCGTTCGGTATAGGGTATAAAATCGTCGGCAGCCTATATACAATCGATCTTTCCTTCTTCTGCTTTGTTTTGTTTTTATTTTTTGTGTATCAGTGGCGCCAGTCGAATTATTTATTTATTTATGTATATATTAACATTTAACATTTGTGTGCGGACTTGTTAACCAATGGAAATGCCTATAACTGGTATATTGCTCATAAGTTCAGATTTAATTTGCTTAATTCGCATTCACAATTTGCATTTTTATTTATTTATGATGGGATTAGTTTAAAGAACAAAATATTAAATCAATATAAATTGTGTTTTACTGTTGAAATTCGCAATATAAACATGAGATTTTATGCAGATCGCCTGCATCATCTATAGAAGTTTATTGGGAAGAAGAATTTTGTTTATGTACCAATAAAATATTGCCATACGTGATCGATTAAAATACTAAAAGCAATTTTTTGGGCTTGTTAAGATATATTACAAATAAGCGAAATTCTATCTTAACCGAACAGCCAAAATTCTGTTAAGTTAAAATATGCCTGAAAGTATGCTATAGATTCCTACAGAAAAGTCGGTTCCGTTTTTGAGCTTATTTTAACGGTCATTTCATGACTGGTTCCATTCTGTTTAATCAATAGCTGAACTTACGCGTAATTGTAGGCTCCATCCGGCTCGATATTAGATTCTTGGCTGATGATCGCAATCGGCTCTCCCTGTTGGGGCTTGGGAGCTGCCTCCACCAGGCAGAGCAGAGCAGCAGCGATCAGACAGAGGGCAAACTGCAAATGGGTTAAGAACGGAAATTAATTCAATTTACGTAAATTGGCAATTGTTTATAAATAACGAGCGCAATTACACATCACACTCTGGAGGCTGATTTGAAGAAATCGTGAGCAGTTTTTCTTTCGTTTTTTTTTTCGTCAGTTTGTTTTTTTTTTCTATGTAAATTTTGCTGTTATTTTGTGTTGTGTTGAAACTTGGCTCATCGTTTCGCATAGTTGTTTGATTTATGGGTCTTGTTTACATTGTTCTCACACACATATAAACTATGAGTACGGACAGACAGATAGATGGACAGCCGGACGGAAAGACATATGTCAATTCGCCACAGATTTCTTAAGGTCGTCAAATAACTAGACGCCAATTAAATATTTAACACATACGATTTTCAGCTTGTTATCTGTGTGCCTGTGTGTTAAAGTAATTATCTCAAAAGTGCATGGAAAATTGTGGGGCGTAGAGATTAGAGATGAGCGTGACTTGTAATAAATGGCTCGTGTTTGAGCCAAAAAAAACAAAAAAACGATTAAATACAACAATTTAACAGAAAGATGGACTACCCTTTTGATAATTGTACTTGTGCCTATTGATAATAATATTATTTTTTAAATTGTGGAAATACTTTACAGGTATTTTGTTAGTAGGCTTGTCCATCCTGCTGTTTCCCTTATTCTGACTATTTGGTTTTTACATATGCGCGTGTTGCAATGCGACCCAAAGGCAAAGACCCGTGCTGCAACGCCCCTTTGCGGCTGAGTCTCGGCTTGAGTACAGTCTGGCCGACTCTTGAGCAATTGACGATGGGCGAGTGGGTTACGTGTCTTGTGTTTCAGTTTAGTTTGTGTTTTTAGCCAGATAGACAGCTGCCAACTGAGCGTAACATTCGTCGCCAGCGCTTTGTCTGTCTCGCCTTTGCGCCTCTGCAGCCAAATGTCGTCTCCCCAGCCTCGGCTGTGTTCCAGCTTGTCCAGCGCGACCCAGTCGCACAGTTGGTGTTGTCTGTTGTGGCTGTTGCCTGACCTTTGCATTGCATGCCGGCTGCATGTTATTTGGCTTGGTCTGGCATTGTGCTCGAGCCTTTTAAGTGGCTGCCTCGTCTCCAGCATTCATTAATTGCTATTGCCATTTCGGCCGGGCTTGGCATCGACTTTTGGCCATTTGGCCAGCCAAATGGCTGTAACAATTGGTTAATAAACCAACGCGGAAACAACACCTTAAACTGACTCGTTGCGAGCCTTTATTTAGTTCGGCCTTCTTCCAGTTATTTTTATGTGTATGTGTGTGTTGTTTTTTGTTAGGGTTTTAAAATTTTATGTTGATTGATTTACGACTTTGTTGTTGTAAATCCCATTTTACGCATTGAAGGGCTTTTTGCTGTGCTTATTTCGAAATGTTTTGGCTTATAAATTTAACGAGTTGTCTTAACAGAACTGGATTCATATGAATTGGTGGCCATCATAAATTCTATATATATATATATATACATATGATTTATGATAAGTTTATAAGACTTTGTCTTCTATATTGTACAATTTAATTACTACACACTGGTGTAATAAATGAGCTAAGCTGCAAATTGTTTCGTAGGTCATGAGAAGAAGGGAGAGACGACATTGTCGTTGTTGTTCTTGACTAGAACTTGTTCTTTAATTGGCCATTACCTTAGAGAGTAATCGCTACCAGGTTTAACATAACCAGCCACATATTTCTTAAGCTTGTGATGGGATGATTTCTAGATTAGCCACTTTTATTTCTTGATTCCTTAAGAAGGACATTCAGGCAGCTAGGGAAGCAGGGCATCAGCACACTGTCAGGACTGTTTAAGTTATTTGAAAAACAAGCCTTAACTACACTTTCATGCACAATAATTTGAGGTTTTTTTATTATTGTTGCTTTTTCATTTCCTTTTCACAGCTGCCCACACACACTTACGCTTTTCATGTTGTATTGCAATTATTTGGTTCAGTAATGTAATCCAAAGTTGGGCTTATCCTTTCCAGCAATCGGCGCACCACACTTCACACTTGTTGTTAATTGAACAAAAGATTTTTTAATGATGCCCAAGTGCCGGCAAGTGAGTCTATTTATACGAAAAGCCCAAAGACGACTACGACTACGACGGCAACTGCGACTACGACGACGACGAAGCTGCAAATTCAGCGGGTAAAGCGTCGCACAT